AAAATTTCAGCTTCAAAGCTTGCGTGGTTAGCGAGTTGAAATACCCGGACAAACGAACACACACACATACATACACACACACGCACACACACACAAACACACACACACACTGACAAGTTCGTTACAGTATGCGTTTTTGCTGCCTGTTGCAGCGCTCTAGCGTTGCACGGCAAAAACGCATAAAAAGCATATCGTCGAAGTCGGCCATATGTGTGTATGTGTGTGCGGAAGCGAATGGATTTTGTCACCCACTTTCGACTCAGCAAGCAAGAAAGCTGGGGATCTGAAATTTTAAGGTCATATTCCCACTCCATGTGTCATCCTTTCATTTTAAAATCTGCGCTCATATGCGCCCAGATTTCGCCTACAAACTTCCGAAAAAAATACATATTTCTTTGACGGGAAACGGTTTTGTGAAACAGAAAAAATAGAAAGCCGAAACTTTGCAAGTATATTCTCTGTGTGTATGTGAGCTAAGGATTTCAAATTCAGCTATCGCACATGCTTTGTCGCGTATACGCTCACGTTAAAGTTTGCAGTTGGCACTATGCCAATTCAAAAACTAGCTGGAAAAAGTAGCTGAAATTTTGTCAGAATATTTGTTCCCCATATGGAAAATCGTGTACCCAAATTGAGTTTAGATTTGCACTAGAGCATTTCAAAAATATTTGTAGCGAAGTGGCTGTTTCGTTTACTGGACAAGCTGCAAAGCTGAAACTCTGCAATTCTATATTCGTGCGTGGTGCTAATTCAGCAAAATTACCTGCACGCAGACATGACAAATGCTCAATTTTATGACAAGCTTGGAAGAAGTGCATTTTGTGGGTTTCGTAATCCACTTCCAACTTGCTTCGAGTTTACACTTTTTTTTAATGAACGAGCATTCATCAAAAAACAACCAAGCTTCATGCAAAAAACTAATAATCATGCACGATGGTAGTCATGTGGCCCGATAATGCAGCGCCTTTATCCCAGCCTACGCCCCTTCCCCTGAATGCGCGAAGAGGCTAAAATACAGCCATTATGAGCCCAAGTATTAAACTACAGCGCAGGAACCTTCTACTGCTAACCATCTGCAGTTTTAGCGCAAAAACTCATCATTGCACGGGCAAGCCTGTGTGTTGCAGCCTGATTTTTTTCTGCTTTGATAGAAGTTTGACATTACTTGTATGACACATAGTTAGAATCGCCATCAGCTTGCTTCTACAGCAACGCTTCGGAAGAGGAGCCGTCGTCAGCCTCGCCAGCTGTTAGGACTGTGTAACTCGAACTGTTTTCAGGTGCTTCCACTGCTGTAAAGGATGAAATCTGAGAGGAAAGTGGGGTAGGAGAGGGAGCTACCGAACTTCAACTTTCACTTTATTTTACAACCAATGGAACGAAAGATACTGACATTGTCAATGATACAAGTCGAACAACCTTTGCTAGCATCGTTATTATGAATTTTTCATTCGCCATTTTGGCGGACAGAATGGGATATCCACATCGATTGTCCAGACAGTCTTTGTCCTTCGTATTTTTATAGGCAATAAAAAGTTTTTACAGTTCCCATCCGTGAAATTCTACTTGCTCTCTTTGTAATTCCTCGAACTTACGCGCTGCTTTCCCCCACTGTCGCTTCTGCTCCTTCGGTTTGTCGTTTCGTTCACCCAGTGCTTTCCTGTTATAGGCGTTTTGTAAATTGCTACATGCAGTAAAATATGTCGCATGAGCAGCCTGCAGCAGACGCATCAGCAGCGGCAGCAGTAAGCAGCAGTGATTCGCAGGATACAACACCGTCGTCAGGACTGAGTGCAGCTGAGCAGCATCAGCATTTTTCAGCAACCCACCTCCCCAACAAGCATTATCGAGCCACAGCTCCCGAAATGCTCCCTCGCTATCCATCATCGGCGACCAGTTTATCACAGAATAATCTTAATGGACGATTGCATTCTAGTGGATCGCCACATCCAGTCTATCATCAGCCTTCTTCGATCAGCGAGCATTTAGCAAAAGCGGACGGGAGCATGGACGGGATTCAAGTGACCCAGGAGGAGGATTTCAGCTATCACCTGCACCACTATGCACCTCACCTACTGAGAAGCAAGGAAAATATTGCTGACAATCTCCCGGTGCGAATTTTTCCCTCGCCAACCTCACATAACAACTATGAACAACTAGCATGCTACAGTACAGCGGTGGCGATGATGGATGGCACAGCGGCGGTGGAAGAAAAAGTGGTACTGCTGAATGAAAGGTCGGTGGGCTTTGGGCTCACTGTTATTGCTTTGAAAGCATTCATGATACGCATCGTTTGTTTCAGGTATCGTGGTGAGTTATCTGTTCTGGAGAAGTATCGCTATGATCTCAGTAGAGCGCAACTTAAAGCAAGCTCAAGGACTTCTGCCTTATTGGCCGGTTTCGCAATGGTAACCACTTTATTTCTTTGTTTAATCCTGGGCCTCGTAATACAAGTTTACTAGGATTGTCCGCAGATCTCCCTTAGCATTAGCTACGAGCAGCGTAACATTTTGAACTTTGCTGTGATAATTCCCACGTCTTTTTGGACACTTAGAACAACAAAATTTTTGCCATGTTCGTTTATTTTTTCTTAGATAGCGAGGTTTAGGAAATAAAGATTTTTTCTTGCTATGAATGGGAGCATTGTCTTCGTGACTGTTGTAATGTCGTTTAAAAAAATCCATCCGTATACTTTTCATTCGTTCGAATTACCTTCTGGAAAAAAGCCAGGAACCGGATAGTGAGATTTAAGTGGTTTAAAATCACTGGTGATACAAAAACTTACTTTTGAAATTACAGTCCTCCAGTCCTACAAAAAATCGGGGATTTCGAAGGTGTTTATATATTTTAACTGTGATAGGTGGTATACTGGTTTGTAATTTTTATGCGAACTCGTGGATTTCACCCAGTTAAACTTCTCATTTCTTACTCCAAACTCATTTTTTCTAGAGCCATATTGTTAATAAAACTTTTGTGCACACGGTGAAAAAACAGAATATTTATACCCACCTATTTTTTTTTTCTTTTTTTTGATAGAAGAAAATGCAGTTTTCGGTAACTTATTAATATTTATAGCCTTATTCGTGTTTTATTATCAACACTGATTATTTAACAAAATGAATGGATGAATCGTAGAGGAATTAGTTATGTACTAGCGAAGTCGAGCTTCCAACCTCTGACATGCCAACAACGTTACTCCACACTGCTTCATACTCCCCAAGTTTTCAATGATACAGGAAGTCGAACCCGCCTTCGGCTTGGCTTGTTTGTAAGTAATCTTCGTGCCAGCGAGCTGAGTTGCTGGCAAGGCTGCCGATGGCGTCCTCGTTAGAAGACTACTGCTGTCCTGGGAATACTTGCTAATGTCTGTAACTTTCACAGGAAGCGAACACGAAGAGGGTTTTGGCTTTTGACTACACGTAATGACAATTTTTATGATTTATTAACATTCCATCTGCATGGTATTTCCTCCACAAGTTGATGGGGAAACAAGCTGAAGACAGCCTGTAAAGCGTTACTGTATGTGTTGCTGTAGATCTGCACTTGAAAGAGATTAGTTTTGAAGTTAGTTTTCCTACAGTGTGCTTCAAATGACCGATGATGACGTCAAATCGTCTGATCGGACTTTGCAGCACTCCCCTTCCGATAATTACTAACCAGCTGTTTTTTAGGTCGCACTGGTTGAATTGCAATATGAACGAACGACGCCACCATATTTATTAATTATATTGGGCGTAGTGACAACGTTACTTGTCTCTGTACATCTTCTTGCACTGATGATGTCCACGTGTATTTTGCCATACATTGAGGCAAATGGCTGCACGCAGGACTCACCTCACATACGTCTAAAGTATATTTTACCAGCAAATTCTTTTGAAACAGTGCAGGTCACAGGTCAAATTTTGGCCTGTAAAACTTATGGCATTACTTTGGTAGCTCCTGTCCTCAACATTGAAATTGAATTGATCATATATACTTTATTCGGTGCAGTTCGTGCCCTTTACGGGACTATAGCAAGCGGATTCGGGTTTATGACGTGGAAGGGTGCGGCGAGTAATAATTGAAATATTATGCTACGAATAAAAAACATGAATTATATCAAAAAATCGCGTCAGCAACAATGTTTCAGTCCATTAAATCGTAGATATCCCTGTTCAGCACCACAGCTGAACCTCATTGATACAACCGTTTCGTTATTTATTAAAAATGAGGGCTCCACACTGATAGCCACTACATTTTTGGTGGTCGCTAATAAAACATCTAACGTT